TATGTGAAACTGTCTGGAACAGTTATAACTCATAAAGGTATCTGGTGGACAATATGACCAGAGGTATGTGAAACTGTCTGGAACAGTTATAACTCATAAAGGTATCTGGTGGACAATATGACCAGAGGTATGTGAAACTGTCTGGAACAGTTATAACTCATAAAGGTATCTGGTGGACAATATGACCAGAGATATGTGAAACTGTCTGGAACAGTTATAACTCATACAGGTATCTGGTGGACAATATGTACGGAGATATTTGAAAATGAAATATGTCCAGAAATACATTTATGGACAGCCATTAGCCTGATAAGACAGCCTATATTTCCAAAGACAACTAGAAGGCTAACAAAATATATGGGAAAATAATGATGGTTGGTTGGTTGGGTTTGCTTGGGTTAAACTCCATGTAAATTGATGAGTAAATTGTAGATTCACATTTTGGACTCCCTGTACCCCAAATCCTGGGGAAACCCCTACCATCCAATTAAATTTAATTACTTAAAATGATGCAACATGGTGTTCAATATAATTACAAACAAAATTAATAAAAAGCATATGTAGTGCCCATTTAACTGCTCAACCATGCTCACCTTTTCTGTAACTTTAGTTTTCACTCTCTGGGATGTCTGTAGTCTGTTTTCCACTGCGGCTGCCACATCAATTGTTGATGCTTTCACTGTCTTCAGCTCTGAGGCCACCTGGAAGTTATAAACATGTTAGATACATCTCATTTCATACTGACAGATGTGACATGAACCTCTCTCTCTAATACAGTAAAATATCTAAGAGGCAATGTTCATGCACGTTCCAGCCAAAACCAAAGGAAATAATGTTCCACAAGATTAATACAAGATAAAGAATAATTTCATTTAAAAGGTGACGAGTTCAGCAGGGTGTATAGCATTTTATGAATTTTACTAGTTAGTCAATATGCTCACAGTTTTACTTATTTTAGAAATATCCTGACGGTGGATCCTGATGGTGAAAATCTTTCATTGGAGGCATGCATTTGCAGTAAAACTACATTTTTTTCATCATTTTACATGAATTACACAATTGTAACTCTCTGCAATATATTTTTTGCAAAAGTTTTTATTACTGCCACAAGAGGGTCATTGAGTGACATAGGCAATAATAATAATACTAGTACCTTCAATGTGCTGTGGAATTCTGGCCTGGCATAAATGTTCTCTTCTGACCCGGACTTCTGTTGGAGCTGACCCTCTACTTTACTGGCTGGGTAATGATAGCCTCTCTTCTGAAGTGTCTGGCTCCTAATGGCAGATGTAACACCTGGGGCTGTTCTGTGGCTCTGTGAGGGAGGGGCAGACTGGGCCCTCTTCACATTTTGTCTGATGGCTTTTCTTGAATCAGTGTTCTCTTCAATTGCAGTGCTACCTTTAGTTTTGACACCTAAAGAAATTTTCCCAACAAAATTTTTATTGTCTTTTTTATTTCCTGGCTTAACTGTTGTTTCGCTTTTGGATTTCCCCTGCGTGGAAGGAAAAGCATCACCTTTACTTGTGTTTTCACTTATCTGGTAGCCATTTATCTTGGTTGCAGGTTGAGTAGCCTGCGACAAATCATCCTCTTTAGTCCTATATCTGTATACTTTACTTCCACAACCCATTTCCTTCTCTCGTGTCTCTATCAATAAGTCTTTTAAGGCATCTATTTGACTTTCTATGCTGGACTTGTCCTTGGAATGCCTTGTCACTTTAATTTGTGAGTGGAGTCCATTTTTAACATTTCCATTATTATAATGGGAGCCAGTGTCATTTTTTGTGGTATTTATAACATCAGGCTTGTTTTTGGAGTGTCCTGTTACAGAAACGCCCTCTACATCTATACAATCTTTGGCATTCTGGACACCAGGGGTCTCTGTCCCAGGACTGTCCTGTGTGGTGGCTGAGTCTGTACTCTGACTATGAAAGCTGTCAGGAGGGGACTTCATTTGAATGACATCATCAAACCTCACCCTGTGCTGCCCTCTGGTGGTGTGATCTGGCACTAGTCCTGTCGCTCCTGGAAGTCCTGGCATATAACAAGGGAAGAACATGCATACATATCAGTAACATTACTTATTTGTCTGTGCAGCAAATTAGTTTCCAAAACTTTTATAACTTATGCCTTAAAAATCTATCTTTAGTCAAATTATAGTTTCCACACATGGATGGCACACTGCACTACTTTATTTTAAATGTTATCCACAATATTTTCCATTAAATGATCACCCTTATGCAACTTTTACTTTATAACACAAAAAACATTTCTCCTTAGCCGACATTTTATTTTATTTCAATACTAGTAAATAGTTTTTTAATGTCAATGAATTACAGACTATGGAGATGTAGCTCAACAATATGCAAATAAAGCAATAATTTTGTAGTTTTCAGTCTCTAGTAAAAAGGACAAAACCCCATTCAGAACAGGGGACCAATAAGTCCGAGAGTCAAAATATGGCCAACCCACTTGAATACTTCCCCACGGAATATCTATTCAGTGTCTATTAGCGGATTAAATGGCAAGCTTTGTAGTGGGTCGCCATATTTGATACTCAGACTAATTAGTCCCCAATTATGAATGGGGCCTCGTAAAGCAGGGACGTTATTTTAGCCCAGTGCTCTTCCTCACCTGGTAGTTTCTCAGGTGTAATCAGAAGATCTGGATCTGGAAGTACTTTGCTAGGAAAGGCCATTCCTGTCTGTGTAGGGGATGGTCTGTAACTTTTAGGAGTGACATCCTCATCCTCATGACCCCCTCTTCCATAAAGGTAACCCCCTCCTTTGGGTCTAGGGTCTCCATAGTCTAGTTTCTGTCTTGCTGCAGTTCCTGATCTTCTGTGCTTATTCAGTGGCATATCTGTGCTTAGCTCAGGGGTAAACTCATAACCTGACACCCCTTGTGGATGAGAATAGAGTCTCCCTATGTTCATCATAGCATGATGGTAATAGTCATAGCCTGAGATGGGTCCATGTTCTGAGGGGGGTGGTAAGGAGGGAGGGTAGGTGTGGGGTTGGGGTTGAGACTCGTGACAATTTATATGAGCTGCCATGTTGTTTGTTTAGTGTGACAGTACTATAATCTTCTTACATCTCCAATCTGAAATAATAAGATATTTATCTAAACTTTAAGATATATTGTGAATACATAAGTCTGAATAAAACAGATCATTAATAAATTCAAGGATGCAACTGAAGTATCAATAAAAACTGGTAAAAACACAAATTAATGCATTTGGGAGGTGTATGCAACTATCGTAAAGTTGACAACTTACAGTACTTGAAAATCAATATCTTTTTGTCGGATATAAACCAATTTAACCTTTTAAGGATTACAAAATTAATTATTCAGTTTGAATACATGTTCAAACTAAAGACTAAGGGTGCTTTCCCAGAGATTTAGATCGATCTAGAGATTAAGATTTAGATCGACCTAACTCCCTGGGGTTCACGCTAAATTGCAGTCAGCCGAGCGGTCACCATAGTTAATTACCCCCTTACAGCTTTTAGTAGACAGACGCTTAAGCAGACGCTTAAGCCGGCCAAGCTGATAGTAATCTACTGAGACTCCCCACAGGGATAGATCGATCTAAAAATCTATGGAAATGGGGTCTAAGTGACTCTAAGGGACCAAAATGTAGGAGATAAATGTTAGGGATATATATTAGTTTAACACGCTCTCTTGCGTCCTCTTCATTTGCAATCAAAAGCTCTACATAGGAATGGGCACTGAAAATATAACTCAGTATATTGACTAATTAATCGAATGGCCTTGTACTAAATAAATTATATTCTACAAATTTGTCGACATCTGAAGTTGAACTTCAGGTTGAAAGATGACACAGCTTACCTTTCTATCCAGGACCTATTACTTCAATTCAAAAGTTACCGAGATTTCGACCATGCACATATGTATCCATCTCCACTTGACGTTAAACTAACATTACTGATTTTTGTCGCATCATTTACTTCAAAATCACCAAACTTTCGAATGTTGAAACTTCCGCCGAACCGGAAGTTTTTGAAATAACGCGCATGCGTGGAAAGTTTCGTAAGTGAACATGGCGTCGTCACGGTCGCTCATGAAAAGCCTGCATCAGAATTATGCATTAATTCCTTTTATCCAGGTAAGTCGATTGGGTTCTTTGTAACTTGGAATTAGCAAATGATAAAAGAATGTTCCCCGAAAAAAGATACAGTCGTTTGGACTTTCTGAAGTGGGATTGCAGTAATTTTTATGGTGACCTCCATTTGACATTGGTCCAGCAAGTCACTTTTCTACAAATTATGTAAAACGAAAACAAAGCTAAATTTATTCTAATAGAAGAATATAGTTCGACTGTTTGGGAAACTAGTTGTTTTTAATTAATTTTTCATCATGAGAACGGTTACTGAAACTGCTTTGCGTATAAAAATAACTTTCTTCCATCAAACACTCGTAAACGAAAATGTAGATTTCGTTATAACATTTCCCAAATCTTTTTAACAGCTGTGTTAAATCTTAAAGGATTGAAGCTTTTACATAAAAATTATTTATTAGAAATGATGTATACACCTTATGCTTCGTTGTTTATAAAATGCTGTTAAAGACATTGTATACTAACACTTAGGTAACTGGTGTTATGCAAGCCATATTGCACATGTGCTATTCATTCAGTAGTGGTATTCAGTAATATTTTAATTTATGTAAACTGCAGTCAGCATACTGGATAATTTGCCTGAGCTCACACAGAAAAATGTATTAAAGAAAATATGTGAGAGCTCTATATAGTTGTTATTTGATTTTGGTGTGTGGTATGTGAAGTCCCCTAGCTCCTTCCCCCCAAAACACACACACACATAAATAACAAAATAACGAAATGCTTACCATGAAATAATAATTGAACATAAAATAGGGCCAGTAAATAACTTGCATTTGTTCATTTCAGGCACGGTTTTGCCAGACAGCAGCAGCGCCAGCTCTCCACCCAAAACTGAAGAAATTTAGCATATACAGATATGTAAGTATCCCTCTGAGGCTCTCTCACTCTCTCTCTCTCGATCATTGATAATACTCCTATTTTAAAATTTTAAACCAATGTATTCAGTTAAATTTTAAAAAATAACATTTTAAAGCAAAAAAACACACAAGAAAAGAAATTTGTGTGAGAAATAAGATAAGCATACTACTGAATCAGACATGCTGAAACTGCCGGTCCGATCTGTCATGACCAGGAAAATTTGTCTGAACTGGTAAAAAATTGGACTTGGTTGGTCCAAAAGACCGACAAGAGTTTTAAGAGCAGCAATTTTGAATTTACAGTTATCATTTGACATACTTCATCAATAAAATTATATATAGCCCAAAGTGTTTTTCTCTTCCATTTCTAATATATCACATACACAAACAAAGTAAGCTACCCTAATAATACTGGTAGTATCTGTCTCAAACGGAAAGGGTGATTTTTGGTCCGACAAAAATCCATTCGGTCCGACAAATTTTTCATTACTGCCGGTCCAAATGTCCGGCCATCAAAGTTTTCAGCATGTCTGCTGAATTAACACACAGAAAATTCATAAGAACCATATGTTATATTATAAAATAACCTTTGTAGGATCCAGACAAGCCAAACAAGAAACCAGCTCTGCAGGAGTATGAAGTTGACCTCAACGAGTGAGTTGATAATGTCTCGTGGCTAACGGAATTAAATAAGTTTTGAAAACTATTGACAATGGATGCATTATTTGTACTTTTTGTAACAGTTAAAAAAATTTATGCTGCTCTACAAATAGACCATAGAATTACCAGTAATACTACTTCATCATGAGACATGCAACCATAATTCATTGTGTTAAGTGAGCACAAATCCTCATTCCTTTTGCTAATATAATTTTACATGAATTAGATTTTCCTCACTATCGGTAAATTTATTACTTTTTTGGGGACAAAAAATATCATTGGCCAGGGCGGGGGCCCTGGATCCAACACCATATTTTCCTTCTTTTTCACCAAATGACAGTCTCATCCCAGGTTATAGCAGTGCCAGGAGTTTCGTATAAATCTGTATAGTGACTGACCACTATCTCTGCTTTAAGTAGGTGACCTCTAACAACCTGGGGACTAGAAATGTTGGTAGATTGAAAATTTCATCTCTGTCCTGACACTATCATAAGCAGTGTAGTCATGTATTACATGTTGACATTTATATTTTCAGTTGTGGCCCTATGGTCTTAGATGCCCTTATTAAGATAAAGAACGAACAGGATCCAACCTTGACCTTCCGGCGCTCGTGTCGTGAGGGAATATGTGGCTCCTGCTCCATGAATATTAATGGCGCCAACACACTGGCTTGTATATGGTGAGTGATAATGACATACTTCTGAGATCTTATGTAATACTGCACCAACACGCTGACTTGTGTATTAAAATGGGTGAACCAAGAAAGACAAACAGTATTACTTCAGATGCTTAGATATTGCACCTTTGTCTTATAAAGTATAATGTTTTTATATAAAATCCTTAGATTTTTGCAGCAGACTGATTCACAGTAATAAATTAAGTCTTGTGTGTTGTATTCTGTTGCAGTAAAATTGATGAAGGCAGTAAGGCTACCAAGATCTACCCTCTCCCACACATGTATGTCATCAAGGATCTTGTGCCAGTGAGTACAATAAATACACATTATATCTACCCTCTCCCACACATCAAGGATCTTGTGTGAGTACAATAAATACACATTATATCTACCCTCTCCCACATATGTATGTCATCAAGTATCTTGTGTGAGTACAATAAATACACATTATAGCTACCCTCTCCCACACACGTATGTCATCAAGGATCTTGTGCCAGTGAGTACAATAAATACATGCTATATCAAGAGAACATGCTAATTGCTCAAACCTACTCAAAAACAAAAGATAAGAAAGTATTAGGAGATCTTGCTCAAGTTGTATTGTAATCACTTCTTTCACTTAGTAAAGCACATGCAAAAACTGAGGATATCAAAACTTGTAAAGGACTAACCTGTCTAGTGCAACGTCAGGTTGAAAAAAAAAAGAGTGTAAGAAAATTCTGTAGTTAACCATCTGTATTTCAGGACATGAATAATTTTTATGCCCAGTACAGATTCATAGAGCCGTATTTGAAGAAGAAAGATGAAAACGAGGCAGAAATAGGAACGAAGCCATATTTTCAGAGCCCAGAAGACAGGGCCAAGCTGGTGGGTTAATCTTTTTTCAGGATTAAGCATTTGAAATAGTTTTCCTTGAATTAAAATGCCTTTCTGTTAAGTAGTACTCAAAGGTGTAACAGTTAATATATTCAAATGTTTTCACAGTCACATCTTTGTTTGGTCAATAACGTAACTTTTCTTGATAATATTTCAGGACGGGCTTTATGAGTGTATTCTGTGTGCATGTTGTAGCACCTCTTGCCCCAGCTACTGGTGGAACTCTGACAAATATCTGGGACCTGCAGTTCTCATGCAGGCATACAGGTCTGCTAGTGTTTGTTTATTTATTTATTTATTGATTTATTGATTTATTTATGTGTTGCTTCATTATGTCTGTAGCCATGTGCTTAAAAAACAAAATTATTCTAATGCAGGCTCGAAGGCATGGTAGTTTGTTAATTTATTTGTTTGTTTATTTATGTATTTGTTTGTTTGGTTTTGCACTGGTTATTGTTTCAGTAATTTTTTTTCTCTAGCCATGTGGTTCTAAAATGTTTTTTTCATTTGGTTTAAGAAAAAGTACACTTTTAGTTATCATATTTCCCACAGGTTTTGTCAAGAATTTGAAATGACTAAAGCCTTCCAGATATGTAGTTTGAGATAGAGATCCAATTGTTACATAGAACATGCATGCCCAGTGTTGATTTAAATATTTCCCCAGGAGCAATTACTCATCTCTAAGTGCAGGTAAAACCCTCATCAAATAGCCATCTTAGTTTGTTGGTTCACTCCATCATAAATGAAAGAAATTTGATGGCTTCTTTCCTTTGGTTATAGAAATAGTGAAGTGTGTCATAATTTGTTTGGGCAGCTTCACTTGTCCTGTGGACCTAGCAAAGGAAGTTATGCTACATCCACATTGAACTTAATCAATGAAATGTTCTCTAGGTGGATGGTGGACTCGCGTGATGACTTTCAACACGAGCGCCTGGAGAAGATGCGAGGCGCCTACGCTGCGTACAAGTGTCATACCATCATGAACTGCACCAGAGTTTGCCCCAAGGTGAGCTGACATTTTGCAAAACATATAAACAAACAAAAAAAAACCTAAAAAAGAAAACTATTGATTTATAAAAAAATGCTCCAAAATTTGAAAGCGATGAATACCATTGACAAAAATCTTGACCAAACTGGTATTATTCCGTCTCTGATATTACGAGGCTGTATATAGTGGCCATTTCTGAGTAAGGAGGTGGGGTAGCTACAGCTTTCCACATCTGGGACAGTCTTGTGGGCAGCCTTTACAACAGCAGACTAACAGATCCACGGATCAAATATGGCCACCCACCTGCTGCATAATACCCTAAAAGACACTGAATAGATTCCCTGCAGGTATTACTCAACAACCATTCATGTGGAATAGCAAAATTTGATAAGTGGACAAGTTGGTCTGCTGTTGTGAAGGGGGCCATGATGGGCAGCTGTCACTTGACTGGTCACAATACATGTACTCATGACATCAGTGTGACTGGTGTCTAGTCCTTGGTGTCTAGATGAAAGCTTCCAGAACACTATCCATATGCTTTCAAAAATATGTGAAAAAATTGAGAA